TTTAATAAGTCAATATTGACTATACGAAAGTGCGAGAACGGGTTGGTGTTGTGAGTGTGTTGTGTGTGTGTGGTGAGTGTGTGTGTGTGTGTGGTGTGTGTGTGTACTCACCTAATTGTACTCACCTAATTGTGCTTGCGAGGGTTGAGCTTTGGCTCTTTGGTCCCGCCTCTCAACTGTCAATCAACTGGTGTACAGATTCCTGAGCCTACTGGGCTCTATCATATCTACACTTGAAACTGTGTATGGAGTCAGCCTCCACCACATCAATTCCTAATGCATTCCATTTGTCAACCACTCTGACACTAAAAAAGTTCTTTCTAATATCTTTGTGGCTCATTTGGGCACTCAGTTTCCACCTGTGTCTCCTTGTGCGTGTGCCCCTTGTGTTAAATAGCCTGTCTTTATCTACCTTAGCAATTCCCTTCAGAATCTTGAATGTGGTGATCATGTCCCCCCTAACTCTTCTGTCTTCCAGCGAAGTGAGGTTTAATTCCCGCAAATAATTGTGTGCGTGTTGTGAGTGTGTGTGGTGAGAGTGCGTGTGTGTCGTGAGTGTGGGATAGAAGCTTCAACTCCTGGTAAGATGACTTTTTGGTTCCGTTGTTGGCCAGCCAAAATAATAATCTTCCAAGCTACTTTAGTTTTATTTAAATATTTCAAGAGAGGAACAAATAACAGCTGGCGATTATTTTGGGGTAATTCCGGGGGATTATTGCGGTTGTTGTGAGCTCAACCACCTCGTCTGCCCAGAAGGTACATTAGTGAAACCACCTGAATATGTACTTTAAGGTTACATAAAGGTTACTTTAAGGTTACTTAAGGTAATGTTAAAGTGTTGGATATATATATATATATATATATATATATATATATATATATATATATATATATATATATATATATATATATATATATATATATATATATATATATATATATATATATATATATATATGTGTGTATATCACGAAAATAAACACGTGATTAAGAATGTGACAATGTCAGACCACGGAGGAAAATGAAACAGGAAATTTCCTTAAGTACTTTCGTATATTAAATACGAAAGTTCCTTCTGAAGATGTATTTAATATACGAAAGTACTTAAGGAAATTTCCTGTTTCATTTTCCTCCGTGGTCTGACATTGTCATATATATATATATATATATATATATATATATATATATATATATATATATTGTGACGATAATCTCCTTCAAGAGAGATTGAGCCTGCTCTTCCCTCCTAAGTTCGTCGCTATACATCCCTATACGACTAATATGGAAGAAATATCCAACAAGTACAACTCTAAGGTTTGCCAGAGAGCAAACGTATTCAGCACCAGGAACACCTGCTCCGCCTCTGCCACTCGAACCACCAAACTACCTGTCCGTCGCCTGCTCATCGCTGATTGGCTGGTGGTCAGTCGCACCTGCTCCTCCACCGCCACACTACCTGATGTCTGGGGCCACCACGACCTGCAGACCTCAGAATATCTAGTGCTTTCAACAAGTTAACACGTCTCGTTGGTAGACTAAGCTCTGGCTTACGTGTACTAAGAGAGGTGGCAGCTTAAAGCCAATATTCCTGCACCCATATTTTGCATTGCATATTGTTCACTTGTTATTACTCACTTGTCTTAACGTAACTTTTCATTTTGCCATTGATTATTCTTATTATTTTGATTGATTGATTTTATGTTCCAATTTGTATGTCCATTTTATTCATGTTTTGCTTTTCTAACGTAATTAAAATCTCATTGTTAAATTTACTTGTGTTTTGTGTGTCTTCCCATTACCTTACCACAGACGAAGTTCCAGATTTTCTCTTTTTTTGTTTCTATATGTGACGAGGCCATACCCCTAGCTTTTGAAACAGCCGAACACCAACGCGTTACCGTCACAATTATATATATATATATATATATATATATCTCCAACAAATACAACAAAAATAAGATATGGAAGCATGACCATGTAATTATAGGATCTACTTTCAGACTACTATTCAATAGGTAATATATACTATGTATATTTTGTCTAACAAATTAAATATTTTATATATTGTAACTTACTGATAGATACCATTTAATAAGTTTATCTAGTTTTTTAAATCTTCCATTAGAGAGTAGATATATATGCTGTCATTCTGCTGGGAAAAAGACCTAGGCAAAATGTAAAATTTTCTATTTAGTATTTATGCGGGCAAGAAGGAATAATTTATATTGGAGCAACAATGGGCCAATACAAGCGAATTACGTTCATCAACTTCCGTTCCCCGGACCAGTGACTCGAGGTCTGATAAAGACCTTTCGTGCCCTCTGTAAACCTTTTTTTGTGCTACGGCTCACAGGATGAGTATGGGGTGCACAATAAACTAGCTACCTCCGGCTGCAACAATCAATCGAATACTCACGTGGCCCACTCACACACCGAGACAGCTTGAAGAGACTATGCAAAGTCATGGAGGGCATGTACAGAAAGCACTTTTATCATTTATGACTTCTTCATGCCACAAACACTTGAAAATATCTTCTTTAAAGCAAGAAGAAATATAGATGTACTCGTCCGTAATGTATAATTCTGTGCCTCCTCCTCTGTAATACCAGAGGCAGGTGGAGGCGTCTGTAGCTATACTGGCTATGTCACCCAGCGTCCCTTCCATGTAAACAGAAGTACATAACGTTAACACGATATTTGACGAGACTGTTAAATGGAGGAAACGAGGCAAGAGGGACTTCATAGTACCAAGCATTGGTTTTAACTTTAATGCCTGTGATACTAGTCTATCTTGCCTACATTAATATTTCAACCCATCCTCCTGTTTATGGAACAGTGCCTTCATGGAACAGAAATGTAGATGCGACAGAACCAACCAGAACCAACCTCAGCACCTTGTTCGTCGGATATCTAAATATTTAAAGGCGGAACCAAACATCTAGCGTTCAACCCCCCCCCCCAAGCAATTCAGCACAACTAGGCAAGCCCACAACGCAAACCTTTAATTACTTACTTACTTACACACACACACACACACACACACACACACACACACACACACAGGAACCTGTACACCTGTTGATTGACAGTTGAGAGGCGGGACCAAAGAGCCAGAGCTCAACCCCCGCAAGCACAACTAGGTGAGTACACACACACACACACACACATATTATTCCCCTCCCCCTAGTCTCGGAACACACATGTAAATACAGCTTAAAGAAAAAACGAAAAATGTATTTTTTTTATGCTGTAAAATGTTAAATTTTTTTTAGGGTAAAGTGTGTTTAAAGATGAAATTCAGGTTTTCCTTTCTGGTTGCGAGACAAATGAGTGACGCGTTTTAATGGAACATTTGATGGATCCTCCGAGGCGAGGGAGGAAGATCCACTCGACTGTTGTGTTGGAGGGAATGTTGGAGACAGTGTTGGATGCAGTGTTGGTGGGAGCACTGAAGCAACTTGCATGACTGTTCTTGTAGGGCAGTTCTCCCTCAGTGACGGATCCGTGGATCTTCTTTAGAAAACTGGCCTCAATAAAGTAGTCAACAGGGAAGGTCAGACACGGGTAACATCCTCAGTGTTACTCTGAAATAAATCTTGGAATTCAAAGTCTTTTCAGTATTATCCTCAGGTAAGGGCGAAGGTTTTGGTATTATTTATTGCCTCTTGAATAATTGTGTTAATTTGTAATGTAAGAGTTCGTGGAATATCAATATAGACAGATCTTGGCAATATTTAAAGTTAACCAGCCACTGCCCTAAGGTCAAGACGGGGGATATTACAGTGATTCGCAATACCTCGTGTCGTCCTAATTACGTTTAAGGATCACAAAAGGAAAGTTGATGAACAATTTTTCTCAAAAGTGAAGGTCGAGTGTGTGTGTGTGTGTGTGTGTGTGTGTGTGTGTGTATGTATGTATGAGAACAGCTGGTGAGGTGTTTCTCCATCCTGACTACACGCGTGCAACCGTCACCAGTAGAACAAAAACCACTGCTCTTCACTGTCTTCCCTAGTTCCTCGTTTTTCCTCTTCCATCTCCCTCTTCCGTCTATACCTCACTATTCTTTCGGCTCTTCTATAACATTAAGAATTCATACGGATTGATGCATTTCGCCGAGAACGTTAATAATGAGGCAGAGACTAGCTGGGAGTCATAAACAACTCACCACACTAACACCTTGACCGCACAGCCAGGCAACAAAGGTTAAAAGTACATTAAAGATGAGAGGTGAGAGAGAGAGAGAGAGAGATGGGGGGGGGGGGGGCGACAGGTGAAAAGGAATTTGGGAAAACTAAAAAGAGAGAGATAAGAGTTTTGAGGTACACTATATCTCATGCCAAACCTGAGCTTCATTCCTGCCCATTGCTTCATTCCTGCCCAGTGAAAGAAACACTGCCCATTGTTTCTCGCCAGCGCCTGGGATCGAACCCAGGACCACAGGATCACAAGTACAGCGTGCTGTCCGCTCGGCCGACCGGCTCCCCAACCTACCTACATGTTGGTACCTACATGTTCAGCCCACTATTGACGTCTCCGGTCACCTTGACAGTTCTCCAGACAATGAACAAACCATCATACAAGTGTAGTCAATTATAGACCTCATTAGAACGATTCAGATCGAGTCACCTTCCTCATGGACAACAGTTAAAAATAAGTTATAGTCGACGATCTGAAACATTACCTCATGTATATAGTGATGAACCATTCGAAGATTTTAAGTAGAAAAGCTTTGTGTAGCCTTCCCAAAATTTCAGAATTTTCAATCGACCCAGGAGCCCCGACCTTCCGGAAGGGATAATTACTTGCAAACTGCTAGGATATACAGGTTAAAAACGAGCAATTATGTCTTTACTGCACTGGCAATTCCAACAGAACGGGACTGAAAGGGGGGGAGGGAGAAGCAATTAAATTTGGTTTATTCACTATCTGTGGGAGAAGGTAAGTCGAGTATGAATTGTATAACTCTGGCGGGAGAGTCCGCTGTGTAACTAATTCCACAGACAAGCTTTCAAGTCAAGGTTTGTCTGCAGGGGTGGACGACCCAACCCGTCATCTCGGTCACCTCTCTACAAGACATTTTCATTTTTGGGATGATGGAATTACAGCAGCCAGAAAGAGCCAACTTCAGCAGCCAGCAGGAGCCAACTTCAGCAGCCAGCAGGAGCCAACTTCAGCAGCCAGCAGGAGCCAACTTCAGCAGCCAGCAGGAGCCAACTTCAGCAGCCAGCAGGAGCCAGCTTCAGCAGCCAGCAAGAAGCCAGCTTCAGCAGCCAGCAAGAAGCCAGCTTCAGCAGCCAGCAAGAAGCCAGCTTCAGCAGCCAGCAAGAAGCCAGCTTCAGCAGCCAGCAAGAAGCCAGCTTCAGCAGCCAGCAAGAAGCCAGCTTCAGCAGCCAGCAAGAAGCCAGCTTCAGCAGCCAGCAAGAAGCCAGCTTCAGCAGCCAGCAAGAAGCCAGCTTCAGCAGCCAGCAAGAAGCCAGCTTCAGCAGCCAGCAAGAAGCCAGCTTCAGCAGCCAGCAAGAAGCCAGCTTCAGCAGCCAGCAAGAAGCCAGCTTCAGCAGCCAGCAAGAAGCCAGCTTCAGCAGCCAGCAAGAAGCCAGCTTCAGCAGCCAGCAAGAAGCCAGCTTCAGCAGCCAGCAAGAAGCCAGCTTCAGCAGCCAGCAAGAAGCCAGCTTCAGCAGCCAGCAAGAAGCCAGCTTCAGCAGCCAGCAAGAAGCCAGCTTCAGCAGCCAGCAAGAAGCCAGCTTCAGCAGCCAGCAAGAAGCCAGCTTCAGCAGCCAGCAAGAAGCCAGCTTCAGCAGCCAGCAAGAAGCCAGCTTCAGCAGCCAGCAAGAAGCCAGCTTCAGCAGCCAGCAAGAAGCCAGCTTCAGCAGCCAGCAAGAAGCCAGCTTCAGCAGCCAGCAAGAAGCCAGCTTCAGCAGCCAGCAAGAAGCCAGCTTCAGCAGCCAGCAGAGCCAACTTCAGCAGCCAGCAGGAGCCAACTTCAGCAGCCAGCAGGAGCCAACTTCAGCAGCCAGCAGGAGCCAGCTTCAGCAGCCAGCAAGAAGCCAGCTTCAGCAGCCAGCAAGAAGCCAGCTTCAGCAGCCAGCAAGAAGCCAGCTTCAGCAGCCAGCAAGAAGCAGCTTCAGCAGCCAGCAAGAAGCAGCTTCAGCAGCCAGCAAGAAGCAGCTTCAGCAGCCAGCAAGAAGCCAACTTCAGCAGCCAGCAGGAGCCAACTTCAGCAGCCAGCAGGAGCCAACTTCAGCAGCCAGCAGGAGCCAACTTCAGCAGCCAGCAAGAAGCAGCTTCAGCAGCCAGCAAGAAGCAGCTTCAGCAGCCAGCAAGAAGCAGCTTCAGCAGCCAGCAAGAAGCAGCTTCAGCAGCCAGCAAGAGCCAACTTCAGCAACCAGCAAGAGCCAACTTCAGCAACCAGCAAGAGCCAACTTCAGCAGCCAGCAAGAGCCAACTTCAGCAGCCAGCAAGAGCCAACTTCAGCAGCCAGCAAGAGCCAACTTCAGCAACCAGCAAGAGCCAACTTCAGCAACCAGCAAGAGCCAACTTCAGCAACCAGCACTTCAATTGCCAGAAAGATGGAACAGGGAACACTATGGAACTTCAGCAATCAGCAAAACTGAATAGCCAGAAAAAAATAGGACTACAGGAGACACCAAAATGGAACTTCAACCATGAAAATTTTACCGCATTAACATCTCGCTGAAGATCAAGACTCAAGATCAAGACTCAAGATCAAGACTCAAGATCAAGACTCAAGATCAAGACTCAAGATCAAGACTCAAGATCAAGACTCAAGATCAAGACTCAAGATCAAGACTCAAGATCAAGACTCAAGATCAAGACTCAAGATCAAGACTCAAGATCAAGACTCAAGATCAAGACTCAAGATCAAGACTCAAGATCAAGACTCAAGATCAAGACTCAAGATCAAGACTCAAGATCAAGACTCAAGATCAAGACTCAAGATCAAGACTCAAGATCAAGACTCAAGATCAAGACTCAAGATCAAGACTCAAGATCAAGACTCAAGATCAAGACTCAAGATCAAGACTCAAGATCAAGACTCAAGATCAAGACTCAAGATCAAGACTCAAGATCAAGACTCAAGATCAAGACTCAAGATCAAGACTCAAGATCAAGACTCAAGATCAAGACTCAAGATCAAGACTCAAGATCAAGACTCAAGATCAAGACTCAAGATCAAGACTCAAGATCAAGACTCAAGATCAAGACTCAAGATCAAGACTCAAGATCAAGACTCAAGATCAAGACTCAAGATCAAGACTCAAGATCAAGACTCAAGATCAAGACTCAAGACTCAAGACTCAAGATCAAGACTCAAGATCAAGACTCAAGATCAAGACTCAAGATCAAGACTCAAGATCAAGACTCAAGATCAAGTAAGTAAGTAATTATCAAAAGAAGGCACCAAACCGGGAAGGCTATGTAGCACCATCAAATACGCAAAATAATCAGAGGGCGCTAAATATCACCAAGGATGCCAATACGAGAACAAAAACGCATAAGGCGAACGATATCAAAAGTATCCGAGTCACCAAGAATTCTATCGAGGGACAGGTGACCGCGAGGGGCGGTCGGAAAGCAAGACACGCTCGTCCTGGAAGTCAGGACATTCAAGAAGGACATGCACGACCGTAAGAGGGACAATGCAACTAGGACAATAAGGAGCAGGGCGGCGCTCCAAGTGACCATGGGTTAAGCGAGTATGGCCAATACGCAACCTCGCTAGAGCTGTTTCCCACCGCCGGTTACGGTGGAAGGAGGACGGCCACGAGGAAACACAACATTTAAGAGTACGTAGCTTGTTACCAGTAACAGACAACCAAGAAGCCTGCCAACGGGTAAGGACTGAGGAATGGATAACCGGGTAAAAGTCGGAATACGGAATGCCTTTACGAGAGATGGGACAAGAGCGGACAGCTTCCTTAGCGGCAGCATCCGCACGCTCATTTAAAGACACGCCAATATGGCTGGGAACCCAACAAAACTCAACCGACTTAAATTTACTGTGAACGAGAAACAGCCAATGCTGGATCTCGACAACTACCGGATGAACTGGATTAAAGCACCCGAGAGCCATGAGGGCACTACGAGAGTCAACAACAACCACAAAGGAAGACTGACAACGAGAAAGCAGGAGACGAAGAGCATAGAGAATAGCATAAAGTTCCGCTGTAAAGATGCTAGTCTCCGGAGGCAAGCGACACATATAAGTGCGATCAGGAAAAACAACAGAGTAGCCAACACCGTCCGCTGACTTAGACCCATCGGTGAAGACAGAAACGGAGCGGGAGTGAGAAGAAAAGTGCTCGAGGAAAAGGCGTTTTAGAACTGTAGGAGGGGTAAAAGCTTTAGTGATACGAGTCAAGGATGTACAAAACCGCGGAAGAGGGACCCTCCACGGGGGCAAAGAAGGAACAACACGAGGAGAAACATCAGAAATACGAACGGAAAGAGAATCCTGCAGGCGAGATAACCGGACAGAAAGAGGGAGGTGGTGAAGAGGAACAGGAACCGCAGGAGGGGTAAAAGTTAAAGCACGACAGAGACGAGAGGAAGGATGTTGCAAGGACCGCGCAAGATAGCGAAGACAGTAGCGATCACGGCGGTCCTGGAGAGACAGGAAGCCAGTGTCAACATACAAGCTAAGGACGGGAGTCGAACGAAAGGCACCAGAACTGAGGCGCAACCCAGTATGGTGCAAAGCATCAAGACGGCGAAGAGTAGAAGGAGAAGCAGACGAGTAAGCAGGGCAACCATAATCGAGCTTAGACAGGACGAGAGAGGAATGTAAAGCAAGGAGAGTGCGCCTATCTGCCCCCCAAGAAGTATGGGACAAGACCCGAAGGAGGGTAAGGGACTTAGAGCACTCAACACGGAGGTAAGAGATATGGGGAGACCAAGACAAACGAGTGTCAAGGAATAACCCCAAAAGCTTCGCGGAATCTTTGTATTCAAGGGGATGACCATAAAGTGACAAAGAGGGACGAAGAACAACCCGTTTCCGCGTAAAAGTCATGGCACAAGTCTTAGAAGTAGAGAACTTGAAGCCATGACCTGTGGCCCAAGACGACACGGCATCAATCGCAAGTTGAAGCCGGCGTTGAAGGAGAGGCGAATCATCACCCTGACAACAAAGGGTAAGATCATCGACATAGAGAGCGGAGAAGACACCAGAAGGAAGAGAGGAAAGAAGACCATTGAGGGCAACCAGAAAAAGAGTAGTGCTCAGAACACTACCCTGGGGCACACCTTCGTATTGCTGAAAAGGGGGAGAGAGAGCGGTACCAAGGCGCACCCGAAAGGAACGACGAGAGAGGAAGCTGCGGAGAAAGAGAGGGAGATGACCACGAAGGCCAAAAGAATGAAGTTGAGATAGGATATGATAACGCCAAGTGGTGTCGTAAGCCTTTTCTAGGTCAAAAAGGACGGCAACAACGGAGGTCTTCGCAGCAAAAGCAGTACGTATATAGACCTCCAAGTTCACCAGGACATCTGTCGTGCTGCGGCACTTGCGGAAACCAAATTGAGAAGGGGAGAGGAGGTGATGGTGTTCCAGGAACCACATCAGACGAACGTTAACCATACGTTCAAAGAGTTTGCAGACACAACTTGTGAGAGCAATAGGGCGAAAGTCCTTAGGGGAAGTACCCAGAGACCCTGGTTTGCGAACAGGGAGGACAACGGCATCGAGCCAGTCCTCAGGGACTGACGACGACTCCCAGATCCGATTATACAGACTCAGTAAATACTGAGACGTGCTCGGAGGGAGATGGCGAAGCATCTCATAATGAATACCATCGGAGCCCGCCGCCGTAGAACCGCAGAGGGCCAGGGCAGAACGAAGTTCAGAGAGAGAGAAGGGATCATTATAGGGAAGCTGAAGATGAGTGCAGAAATCTAAAGGACGAGACTCAAGGACAGGTTTACGAAGAAGGAAAGATTGGGGAAGATGAAGACCAGAGCTAACAGAAGAAAAGTGGGAACCCAGTTCGGAAGCGACCTGCAACGGGTCCGCCACAAGAGTATCATGGAGGTGAAGGACCGGTGAAACATCGGGAACGAACTTACCCGCTATCTTGCGGATACGCTTCCAGATCTGGGCCAGAGGGGTTTCGGACGTAATTGTCGAGACATAAGATGCCCAACATTCACGTTTAGCCGTTCGGATGGCCCTACGGGCCACCGCACTCGCTTTCCGAAAGAAAAGAAAAGAATCGGTCGTCTGCCTACGGCGGTGCTTCTTCCAGGCTGCACGCTTACAGCGGACAGCCCGAGCACAGTCCGCATTCCACCAGGGAACGCACTTCCGTGGACCCCGAGAGGAAGAGCGAGGAATAGAGCGGAGGGCAGCGTCGAAGACAGTGTCATGAAAAAGGAGGAGAGCGCGAGAGAGGGGCAGAAGGGAGAGGTCAGAGAGAGTAGCACTGAGGGAAAACAGGGTCCAGTCCGCCTTAGCAAACTGCCACCTAGGGAAAGAGAGGGAAGGGCGAAAAGAGAAAAAGGAAACAAGGATGGGGAAATGATCACTTCCATGGAGGTCATCAAGAACCTGCCATGTGAAATCTAAGTAAAGAGAAGAAGAGCAGAGAGAAAGACCAAGACAAGAAAGGGTGCGAGTTCGAGAGTCCAAATGAGTGGGCTCACCAGAATTCAGAAGAGACAGGGAAGAAGAGAGGAGAAACGGCTCAAGGAGGCGACCCCGGGTATTCGTCAGAACGTCACCCCAAAGAGAATGACGACAATTGAAGTCACCCAGCAGGAGCACAGGCTCCGGCAAGGAGTCTAGGTGTTTCAAATCAGGAAGAGAGAGCGGGACACTCGGGGGGAGATAAATGGAACAAACTGTGTACCATTTCCCCACAAAGATACGAGCAGCAGAACAATGGAGAGGCGAAGGAAAAAGTAAAGGAACAAAGGGAACATCAGCCCGAATCAAGAGAGCAGAAGAATTAGAAGCCCCAGCAATGGCTGGGGGGGGGGAGAGAAAGGAATAGCCACGAAAACGACCAGGACGAGCACCAAGCATCGGCTCCTGGAGACAGACACAAAGGGGCGAAAACCGCGAAACCAGAAGTTGGAGTTCGAGGAAATTGGCGTAATAACCTCGAACGTTCCATTGAAGAATGGACAACGACGAGAAGAGAAAGGACAAAAACAGAGAACAAGGAAGAAACAAAGGCGAAAGACCAACAGAGCACGTTAAAGAATATCAGGGTCGGGATCAGGGTCAGCAAAGTCAGGGTTAGGGGGCATGGGTAAACTGAGCAAAGACGGAGGGAAGGAAACGGGAGAACAGATCAGAGGTGGGCGGGCAGGGTCCGGAGGAGGAGGAGGAGGAGGAGACAACGGAGAGGAGCAGTCAAGGACAGCAGCAGGAAGAGGGGGAGTAGAAAGAGAGGAGCGCACCCCAGCAAGAGCAGCAACCGAAAGGGAAGCAGGGGCCAAAGAAACCTCCATAGCAGGAACAGGGGGCGCAAGCACTGAAACGGGAGTGGAAGGAGCAACAGAGCCAGAAGGAGGAGCTGAGGAAGAAAGCGAAGCCTTCTTACCCGCCGGGGAAGAGGAAGGAGAGGAGCCAGGCTTACGCTTCTGACTTAAAGAGACCGGTGTCCCAGCAACTACGTACCGGGCAACGGACTCCAGTGTGTCAACAGGAGAAGCCGAACGAGAGCACACACGACGGCCATTAGGAGAGCGATGGACATCCGCCCGCACCGACAGGCGGCGGGGAGAGCCGATAGATGGAGGAAGAGGATGGGAAGGAGGATCGGAGGGGGACGAGGAAGGAGACACAGAAGACACGACAGACCGGGTAGAAGGAAGGGGAACCCCAGACAGAGGACCAGGAGGAGGATCCTTCGGGAGAGAACCCAAAGGGACAGAGGGGGCAGTGGGCGCAGCAGGGTCCAAGGCCTGGAAACGGTTGTGAGTCTGAGGAAGGCGGGAAGGACGAGGAGAGGAAGAGCGCAACACGCGAGCATAAGAGATATTAGCGTAAGGCGGGAGCCGGCGAACCTGGCGCCTCGCCTCAGGAAAAGATAAACGCTCCCGGTGCTTCAAGTTGAGGACGGCTGCCTCAAGCTTGTAATGGACACACGCACGGGAGAAGGTAGGATGGGCCTCACCGCAGTTGAGGCAACGAGCCTGGGGAGAAGCGCACTCCGACTTAGAGTGCCCTTCGCCACCACACAAAGGACAGAGAGAGACAGTCCCGGAGCAGCGGAGGGCACCATGCCCAAACCTCCAGCACTTGTTGCAGAGCCGAGGAGAAGGAATGTACTCCTGGACAGAGCACCTGGCACCAGCAAGAATGACAGAGGGTGGAAGGGTCCTACCATCAAAGGTAATCTTCACAACCCGGAGGGGTTGACGGCGACTACCACGAGGGGGACGAGTAAACGTGTCCACCTGGAGAATAGAATGGCCCTGGGCAGCGAGGATATGTCGAATATCGTCGTGGCAGTCGCGTAGGTCCCGAACACCGGTCGCAACATGGGGCGGGAGCAAAATAGTGCCAACACTGGCATTCAACTGGACGTTCTTCGAGACCCGAACGGGGGTCTCGCCAAGGCAGGATAAGGCAGCCAAGCGGGAAGCAGCATCCTGAGAAGGAGCAGCAACGACACGCGTACCGAGACGAGTGGGGTTAAAAGTAATGGAGGCATCCACGGAATCAATGAGATGTCGATGAAGGGAGAAATCGTCAGGAGGCGCAGAATCAAGAGGGAGGAGATCAAAATATTTGGCCCACGAAGCGGGACCAAACAAGGCTTGATAGGTAGCAGAACTGGAAGGAATCGAGCGAGGGCGGCCGTGACGAGAACGGCGGTGAGAACCCCCAGAGAGAGAGGGGTTAAAAGGCGCAGTAGTAACAACTAGAGAAGGAGCCGCGCCAGGGGACGAGGTAGTCACCACTGGGGGCTTGGGGCTCGACCCAACCACAGAGGAGGGAGGGGAGCCAGGGGAAGGAGTCAGAGAGGCCAAAGGAGGAGCAAGGTCGGGGCCCAATGCAGCGGAGGCTACAGAGCCCGGTCTTCCAATACGGACCGACTCGGGGGCTTGGTCGCCCACCCCACGAGCCTGAAAAGGTAAGCCAGAAGCAGCCGAAACAGGGGTTATCATCTTGACGAAATTACGAATTCACTCACGAATGTGCCCCCACACCCACCATGGAGCCACAATTAGAGGCAGGACACCCAACAAGAAGCTATCGCCGATCTTGTCGGGGCCTCCTAGGGGTGCGTCGTGAGTATACGCCCCACAAACGCCACCTTAAGAAACCGACAGTCCGTCGAGATCGGGTTCAGTGACGAAGTGGGGATTGACAATAAAAGGTTCCCCTCGCTCTCGACGTCGGGTACTGCAGTTGTACGGGTGCAAGAGTATGCCTCCTCAAGCACCCGGGCGTCAAAGTAGAAGAAGTCCAAGGGAAGAACCAGAACGAGCAAAAGGTCGGCAGGAAACGGCAAGCAGATAGGAGAAGAGGGGGGAGAAAAACGAAACAGAAGGAAAAGGAAAAGATGCCCAGCAGAATTGGAGAGGACGGCAGCAGGAGCACAAGGCTAGAAAAGGACAGAGTACTGTCCCAAGGAGCATCACACTCCGGCAGCCGCCCACCTAGCCCCCAGACGGCGACAACGAGCTGAGCGGGGAGGGGGTGGGAAGTGACAAATGAACATCGTAGTTAACCACCGTTCAGAACATGTCACAAACTCGTGTTCCTGAAAATGGTGTCTAAATTTCCAGGATACTGCCAGGTAGTCTAGGAGCAAGAGTGATCGTTTAACACACTATTGGCAAAATAAAACTCATTTGCATAATAAGATAAAATTTGCATCGCCATCTGATTATCCTCTTCAATGTAAATGAGCTTTCAGTAGTTCCATAATGAAAGACCAGAATATAATTACCTACTGCGGTAAAATACAATTAATACAGCATATTGCACTCTTGGTGAAATTATACAACGAGTGGCTGAATTTTTCCACGTGATAAATTTAATACGCGTGCATACTAGGTGATCCCAAATGTACACAAGTATTACACATTATATGGACAATTTTTGTAACTCATTTATATACGTTATATAACGTAACTAATATATTCTCTACATCAAGAAATTAGAAACTAAAGCCGATAACTCGTGAATGAGGGTCGATAGATTAATTATATTAACCCCCCCAATGTACCAATTACTTAACCTGCAAGCTACAGTACAGTACAGTGCTGAATGCGAGGTGCTTTACAAACAGTTGTGTTTAATTAGTTAGTTTAGTTAATTTATTATGCACCCCATACCCATCTTGTGGGCGGTAGTGGAAAGGGTTACAGAGGCACATAATGGGCTCTGACTGAACCCCACAATTCATTTGCAACGATTGTTTAAGTTTTATTTACATTGTTTATTAATTTATTTTTTGTTCAATACTGGAGATCAGATGCATGGAGCTAGTCTTTAAAAATCTACATTATTGGCGATTTTATCGAGTGTCGGTGATGTCGAGGCTGCCCCAATGCACCTATGAAAGGGGGCGAAGCCCTACATCCTCATTCAAGATATCTAGGATGAGAAATTTTCTTAAGGTGCCATGGACTATCATTAGTTTAAGTGGTTATAATATTTACTCTTCAAAGCCACGTTCAGACGTCAGATTTGCATTCGGGGTGCAACCAAGTTGAAAATAAAGAGAGAGAGAGAGAGAGAGATAGACAGACAGACGGGACTAGAAGTTTATACGTGGACAGTGATGGAGACTGGGCACATGTGGGCAAGGTATAATTCTTACATCTTTTCATAATAGTCTTCACTTTTAGACCTCACAAGGTTTTATTTGCAGGACCGTCGGGATACTTGTACGGTCACAACAGCCAGGAAATTGTAGCACAAGTTGCTCCCCCCCCCTCCCTAACAATCTTGGAGGTACACAAGATCCCTCCCGCCACGTCCAGGCTGTAGCCTTTTACTTGTGGGTCAATGTGCAAATTTACATTTTTTTGGTTGGGGGATACTGAAACAATATTAAAGTCCGTAATTAAAATTATGTACATGCAGTTTAAATGACCTGCAACTAGAAAATACATTAACTGCGCCGAGACAATTTACAGTAATCTTGACAAGACTGGCTTAATGTGTATCAAAACTATTACCCTTGTTTAGGGGTGTACAAGAACATCTTTCACTAGATCTTTAATGCCAGTCCTCCACACAAGCACTATCTGTAGTACAGTAACTACTTCAGACGTTCCTTGGGCCATCAATACACTCAGCCGTGATGGTCGCCAGGCGAGAATATGGAAGTAGCCGTGCTGCAGAAGGTAAAAAATTATTAACACCAAGTTTGTAAACATTAAAATTTATAATGCCACTGCAAACACATCCGAATTACAAAAGATAATTTGGGGCGGTTGCGCAGCGTTTTGTGGCCTTGTATAATCAATCTATTAGACACGCTGCATATTTCCATGTTGTACTCACGGACGTTGGCAGTAGTTTGGACAGCACTGGCCGGGGAACCTCGGAGGGTCACAAGGCCAGGGTGGGGGTGGGGCACAGTCTTGAATTGCACAGGACACACTGGCCCCTCTGCAGGTGCAGTGCTTGCAAGGGTTGTGGGGATCTTGCCAAGTCTCTCCATCACTATGGCGACCTCCAAGGTAATCCACGCAGTTGCTGAAAGCATTTACAAAGAACAATTAAGGTAAAACTTTGAATTCCGAATTATAATTCTGCTAATATTGGTCATTGATTTTTCCATGTATAATTACAATTAGAGAGACAAGTTGCAGGGAATTCTTTAGACAGACCCATGCCAACACTGCTGCATCTATAATAAACCCGTCTAGTCCAATCGTTACCATCCCCTTCATCTTTTCATGCAATAAAAGTAAAAACAAACTTTTGGAACATGCTGGGCAGAAGCTACGCGTTTGATAGTTTTCTGAAGAACTTTACATTTAAACAAAAATTAAGGGTACTGTACCTGCAGTTCCATGTAGGGCAGCATTGCCCTTTGGGTAAATGTTCCCGACAACCAGGATGGGGAGCCGGTCCTAGCGCACACTTCTCCTTTATGATTACGATTACATTGTTGGAACATTTGAGGGAGGTGCAGGCATCGGTCTTCCACACGTGGTTAACGGGATGGTACGTACCGTTGACTACACAACCACTAGAATAAAATAACCAACTTCAGCTAATGTTAAAATTAGAATATGACAATTTATAAGAAACAGACCTTCAACAAACATGCCTGCAGTTCCACTCTGGACAGCATTTCCCAGGAGGAGTAGCCTTCTGGCAGCCGGCGTGGGTGGCAGGTCCCAGACTACACTTCTCCAGGGTAGTGTTTATGCCAGTGGTTGTACAAGCGTGTGTGGTGCAGGGATTACTCTTCCAAACGTCGTGCAGTGGATGATACGTTCCATCATGTTCTGTACACCCACTGAAAAAGATGTATAGACCTATAAAACGCCATTACGCGAACTTTACACATTCTATTTAAATAAGACGAGGCTTGCTTTACATCAAATTTGAAGCGCGAATTCAGTATGGTTTAAGGACATTCTTCACTATTCTAAATACCAGGCCTCCAGATATCCATTTCCAACCTGAACAAGCATTAGCAATATTTAAAAGGACAAGTACCTCTTGAGATTCATTAAGATTAAGCCACCAAAGAGGTGGCACGGGCATGAATAACCCGAAACCACATACCTGCACTGCCACGCTGGACAACATTCCCCTGGAGGAGTAACTTGGTGGCAGGTCGGGTGGAGAGGTGGTCCCAGGTAACAGTCCGTCACTGTAGTCTGTATGCCAGTGATCGTACAGGTGTATGTGGTGCAGGCGTCCCTCTGCCACACCTCGTGTAGTGGATGGTAAGTCCCGTCATCATCTGTACAGCCGCTGAAAAAATTAAAACTTTCGTAATAAGCAGGATTTTTTTCCCCTTTCATTTCCCAGTTTAATTATTCCCGGGATCACACTCGCTAGACGGTAGAGCGACGGGTGTCTACGTTCAATCCCCGACCGTCCAAGTGGTTGGGCGCCGTTCCTTCCCATCCTAAATCTTTTACTATATAGCCCTTGGAAAGGGTAATGACAGCGCTTTCTCCAGATTGTTCCCGTCCCGGTACAAGGACACTTCCTTGTAAGTATTGACTGCTCATGACTTTATGCAAAGCATAAATACATTGAATTTGGCTGTAACATTTGCAAGACGATTCAATCGGCTGCCGGGGCAGGTCATTTGCTTGTATCCACAGAAGATACTAGACAACCACCCAGGCCGTGTCAAGAGGTAAACAGTATTGGTAGAAACTGCCAAGATCGATGGAGGATTTTTAATGTATATGCAGAATCTTAAATTTAGTTATTCAAGGAGTTTTTTTCTGAATGCAATTCAGTGTTAAACAAGTAAAAATGATCAAAAGAAGGCGCCAATACAATGTTAAAAGCAATGTCATTGCTTTTAACATTGTACGGTGCTTGCAAGGTTACTGCCGGCAACCTACTGATCTGCCGATACCATATCTATTTGCGTAAAATGTTACAATTATGAAGTAATTTATGCAAGACTAGACGTTCTGAAATTCATAAAGTATTAATAGATAAAAAAAATATATATATAAAAGAGACTAACGCCTAGTCTTAAAGGTACTATTAGAGAATCCTTTGTATTAAGTATTTGACAGGCTCTTCAGACTAGCGTAGTAGACGTTAACGAAGTAAAATTCCTACAGTCCCTCTCACCTGCACTGCCACACCGGGCAACATTCCCCTGGAGGGATATACTCTTGACAGGTGGGGTGGAAAGCAGGTCCCAAGTAACAATCCGTCACTGTAGATTCTATGCCATCGGGTGTACAGGACTGCGTAGTGCACGGGTCAGGTTTCCAGATGTCGTACAGCTGGTGATACGTACCGTTGAGATCCGTACAGCCACTGAAAGTTACCAGTAGTTTGAACACCGGTAGTAACTTTACATTTGTTTGGAAACAAACTGTACAGGAAGTGCCATTTAATCTTTTATCATAAGGGCTAAATAATCTGAAAAGTAATGTTCAAGGCTTGGCAAAAATTTAGGATAGTATTTTATCTGCAGGCAATAAGTTTAATTTAAATTGCCTAGTTTCTTACAATTGCCCTGTTTTACAAACTCCTATAAACTATATCCTCTAACTGACAGTATCATTACTAGAAAACTAGATACTCTAAACAAAGAAATCCCAAGCCAGGCTTGGGTTATGGTCTGTTATAGAAATACAGCATTTTTCAATCTTTAAGTGCTGCATGGGGGGGGGGGGGGAGGAACGGAGGGGGAACGCCCCCCCCCTCTTAATCAACTTGACAAGTGCCACTTGCTATTCACCTGCAATCCCATTCAGGACAACACTCTCCTGGAGCAATATATTTTTGGCAACTTGGGTCGAGGGCAGGACCTATGTAACAGGTCTCCACGTCAGTCTTTATTCCCGCGCTTGTGCAGAAGTGTGTGGTGCAGGCGTCAGTCTTCCACACCTTGTATAGCTGGTGGTACGACCCAGCCTCATCAACACAACCACTGAAAAATAAAGTTATGAGAAAATTAGGTTGAAAGGAAAAAAATCCACAAGGGCCGTGACGAAGATTCAAACCTGCGTCCGGGAGAATGATGCAAGGGCGAAGAGGGAGAACGGCCTATTGATATAGCTCGGGTGCAGAGGGGAGTTTAGTAAAATCCTGGTTTGTGCCTCTGAGGATGCGGGATCCAGCAAGTTCAGTAGAACGTGTTTCAGCTCTCTAACCCTGTCGTAGCTCAGTCGATTAAGGCAGTGTCTGGGATGGTCCCGGACGCAGGTCCGAATCCTCGTCACGGCCCTTGTGGATTTGTTCATTAGGTTTAAAGGATTTCTTATCCATACACAACACGTCGTCCAAACAGACTAAAGTGATTCCATGCTCCCGCCAACCCCCCTCCCCACCGTTCATGTATGAAAAACTTTACACACGACTGATTAAGTTTTAACACTTCCGGAACAAGTGCTTCACCGACTTTCCTAACCACAACCTTATAAATGCTTCACCCACGTACTACAAATAATCAACACAACCTAAACACACCTGTCTAATGGGACACCTTTGGAACCAAAACTGTCAACTCGCCTGCAGTTCCACCGAGGACAGCATTCTCCCAGTGGTACAGACTTGGAACAACTTGGATGAGGAGGTAGCGTGTCTATACAATGAATGCTTTCTTCAGCAATGTCTTCTTCCATACACACCAGCAGTAAGCAGGGATCTTCCGTACGCCATTTCTGGCCAAGTTCATAGAATTCTCCTTTCGAATCTATGCATCCCCTGCAAGACGCATCAGTGTGCCAATTGTTATTTGTGCAGCTGTGATGGTTGCTATTTAAGAATCTACAACGTTATTAAATACCTTTACTATTACTAGCATGCAAATTAAAACTTCTACATTTTTTTTCTGCGTATTTAGTGGGACACCATCTACACGATGACATTTTTCCCCATTCGGTAGCCTTTAGCTAGTTAATGTATAAGCGTTGTTAATATGCACTAATCTAACCCCTCCCCACATACCGTCGACACCTGCACAAGGAACAGTTACCGACAGAAGAGTTTGAGAGAAAGACCTTCAATATATTGCAAATTTAAAATGCTAGAAAAATTTAACAATTATAAGCCTTTAAAATTATTTATATAGGAATATGTACTCTGCGTTAACTAGAATTTTTGAATACAACGCTAATTCAGTCTAGGTAAAGTTTACCAACTAACCTCCCGCTGAAATCTACAAAGTCTCAAATTTAATTTATTAAAAAAATCAGGCTGGTGAAGCCTTAAGCCATCCCAGCATTTATCATTTTAGAATAAAAGTAAATCATTTGGTTAAGTGCAATTAACGCCAAACCATTCTGCAGAGGAACTTCTAAACACAAAAGTTACGTACCGACATTGCCATTCCTGGCAACACTCTCCTGGGGGAGTGTAGCGTTGACAGGTGGCGTGGGGAGCTGGTTCAACGCGGCACTCCTTCACTATCGTCTTTATGCCATCACTTGTACAGTTGTGTAGCGTGCACGGATCTGTCTGCCACACTTTGTGCAGTGGATGGTACCTTCCAGTGTTGTCTGTACACCCACTAGAGGCAGACGGTGATTACAAAGTTGTAACATTTGATACTGCCTACCAACAATTACGCCATGGTTTATAAGCTGCGGCCACTGGGAAGGTGTATGCAGTTCCATAATGACTGTGGCCTTTTGTTATTAAACCTTCGCGTCGAAAATGATTATGAAAAGTAGTGTTTTAATTAGACAGTCTTCGAATGTCTTACACGAGTAAGACTTAATCGGTTCAGATAAAGGGGGAGGGGGGGGTGAAGATTCAAATGACAGGCTTACGAAAGAGGGGGGGGAGGGAAGGAGGAGGAGGGTGGAACCATCTAATATCTTTAGCGAAACAGTTCTATATTAGACCCACACTTTACATTCTGACTGTACAATTTCCTTTACTACCCTCCCAACATTATTAGTACTAAAGGGAAATTTGTGCATTACAGTTAATAAATGTAAGTCGTGTAGCAGCTTTCAAAGTCTGTTCCTGTAGCAAATTTAAAAACTACCATCCTGCCATCTTCCGTACAGGAGCTACGCAATAAATTACAAACTTTTCTTAACTCTGCAAAAACTATATAGACTTAAGCTTGCCTGCACTGCCAGCGAGGGCAACACTCTCCAGGCGACGTAACCTTTTGGCAGCCGGGGTGAGGCGCAGACTGTGGTGGACAGAGTTGTTCTGTTGTGGTGACGCCGGCGCTCGTGCAAGTGTGTGTGGTGCAGGGATCAGTCTTCCACGCACTATACAACACGTGGTATGTTCCGTTGTTATCTACACACCCACTGTTGAAGTACATGTTGGAAATGTGTTAAATTATTAGACAATCTGGCTATGCTTAGAAACTAAAAGGTAAATACTGGTCTTGTCAAGTTTATTTTAAATCTTAGACTTTCAAGGGAGTGGATATTATGAACGCCAGTTTAAGTATCATTAAACGTCCAGATATGGTGCCAGTCACTCATTTTAATAAACATTTTTGGATGAATATGAATATATTATATATATATATATATATATATATATATATATATATATATATATATATATATATATGGGAGCGACCCAGGCAACCCCCTTTACTTTCGTTATCTTGGGATGATTTCGGGGGTTTTGCTTCCCCGCGGCCCGGTCCTCACCAGGTCTCTTGCTGCTCGCCCCCAGTAAGCAGCCCGTAGCAGCTGTAACTCCCAGGTACCTATTTACCGATTAGTGAGGGGCATCAGGGTAAAAACCCCGATTTTTTTCCTCCTCCACCGGGGATCGAACCTGAAACCTAAGGATTACGAATCCCGAGTGCTGTCCACTCTGCTGTCAGGCCCCCTTAACGAGTACTAATGCCCTAGTACGCACAGAAGTCACTATAGCGTGATGCATCAAATCAACATGTCCACAAGGGACGTGAGAAGGGTTCGAACCTCCGTCAAAGATAGCAGATGCGCCTTTATCTATTGCGCCACGACGGTAAAAAAAAAAAAATCAGGGGATCAACACATCAGGAGGGATTAGGTTCGAACCCTCATCACGGCCCATGTGAATTTGTTCAATGATCTAGTATTAGGGTTTTCAATTAATTCCTAAATTTCAACTTTACATTACACCATCTACTCAAAATTTGAGAAACTATCAATTTTTTAGCACTACTTTCTAGTTAAACTTTAAAGCTGTAAAATCTAAAATATTTACATGGCTATGCCAGTAGGCATATTTACCCCTTTTTTGCAAGTAGATAAAAAGATCAAAAGCTCAATTATAATCTTAACATACCTGCACTTCCATTCTGGACAACACATCCCTGGAGGTGTATACCTCTGGCAGCTTTGGTGAAGAGCAGGTTCCAAGGAGCAGTGCTTTACTGTAGTTTTTATCCCAGCGTTTGTACAGACCATGGTAGTACAGGGATCAGGTGTCCATACCTCTGACAACCGATGGTATGCTCCAGTCGAATCCGTACAGCCACTGAAAGTATCAAATCTTATTAACCAAAAGTTCCATCAAAAAATTTATAACAGCAGCTTCCCAAAACGGTAGATTTCTCCTTACCTACAGTTCCACTTCGGACAACACTCTCCAGAAGGTATAAACCTGAGGCAGTCGGGATGAGGTGGCCGCGTCTCTATACAAGTTAGGAACTTTGGTTGAATTCCTCCTCCTGTACACAGGAGACTCGTGCAGGGGTCTTTTGTACGCCACTCTTCACCCAGGTCGTGGAAGTTCCCGGTCGCATCAAAGCAGCCTCTGTAATGGTCAGCAATACTTTTAAAGAGTAGTTCTGGTATTTCACACTTAATCCATACTATATTTAGCAACTAGTCTGCTTTTTTGTCTAACACTTCCTATTGGTCATAGAAGGAAGCACTTCTAGTTTTAGACTTCTTCCCTATAAATGCTACATGGGGGCGGGGAGAGAGGGGGGGGGGGGGGGTGAGAAAATAAGTTTAATTTTGATTACCTTTAAGGTTATGTAAAAATTTTAGTGAAAGTGTTTAGTACTACTTTTACCATCCGTTAAGCATTTCCATTTGTCAAGCTCTACAACTAGCAAAATACATATTACTTTTAAACAAGTTTAATCTTTCTTTAATCTTTTCGGTACTCGGTACTTTGTGACTTGTTATTACCGCCCTCCAATGATGCATAAAGTGTTGAATTTTATAACTTTGTCTAGCTGAAGGAACCCATGTAATTTGTTTTAATTGCCCAGATAAAAGTAAACAATTTTGATCATTTAGGAGAAACAAAATTCACCCAATTACGTCAGGCTTTTATCGACTAACATTCTTAAGCCACTTTAGACACTGCCTGAAAGTGGTGGGTAACCGATTGAAGGAAAAAAAAAAAAACATTTGCCAACGTTCAGCCAAGTTGAGTCTACAACCTTAAGTTACCGACGGTAGTAAAATTATAAACCAACACTGGTTTCATACAAACACCCCTAAACATTAACTCTACCGTTATCTCTCAAGTTAGCGAAAGATGCTACTTTACTATTTAGCAAGCTCCCAAAGACCAAGATGTCTTTCCTTTCCCCAAATGCGCGCACTCACGAAGACTCAAAAGTTAGAGATATTTATAGACTAACGTAAAGATTTTAGTAAACAAATAGGGAGTCCCCCCAAACACCTTTCCTTACCCGCCCTTGAACCAAGTACGGTACTCGCCTGCACGTCCACTCTTGACAGCACTTCCCTGGCGGCGTAACCCTTTGGCAGGAGGGATGGGGCGCAGGTTCTAGGGCACAGGTCTCCTTGGTAACCTGTATACCAGAGCCTGTGCACACGTGGGTAGTGCAGGGATCCTCTTTCCAAACTTTGTACAATGGGTAATAAATTCCTTTCGAGTTTGTGCAGCCACTGGAAAAATAGTGTCATTAGAGTTTAATTTTAATTCTTCCATTTTAAATGGTAAATGCCATAACATTTGGGCATGGAGGTTAAGGAAGGGAAGAATAAATTTAATTTTTAAGAGTGCAGCAGATTTGTCATTCAGCTTTCCGGGGTAGACGACCGGGCCGGGGGGACACCAAGCCCCGGAAGCACCTCAAGGTAGGTAGTTTAAACCGCAAATTTAAAGTCTCCTCCCGACCTTCACTGCAAAGCTAAGAATTACCCCTGAATGGGAAATTTACCAAAAGTTAGTGGTATACAACAATCAGTTCCTGAACTGGTGAACGTTACAGGTATACATGTTAGGTGTGAGGAGAGATTGGAAGAAGCCAAGTAAAGGTGGCATGTTTTACAACAGTGAGGGGGGGGGGGGCTGGAGAATTCATAGCATTTCCACCCCCCCCCCCCACCAGTCTTTCGCAAACTTTAAACGTTTATATCTAGTTCATTCAAGTCTTATTTTTTTTTTACTTCAATAATTCACTAGGCCCCAGACATCTGAACTTTTCGAAACCTAACACATGTGGATTGACTACATGCTTTAATCCCCCCCCCCCAAAAGTAGGGTTGACCCCACAGCACTACTTCATGTCGACTCATTCTCCAGAAATTAAACTAAATATAAGTTAAAGGATTTCAGGGTGAATAGTAATACTGCAGGATTAAGATCTCTAGTCTTCTAGTTAGTACTAGACCAAGTTTTTAATTTGGCATTATAACTGCCGTAGGAGAAGCAGAACCCCCCAAAAAAAAAATAAATTTTCCTTTTAAACGTAAAACAGTGGATCTTCGGTATCAAGTCTGCAAAGGAAGCAAAGTTTCGCCACAGCTTCGCAAATCTAAAATAATGACGCTAGTTTAGTACCTTTAGGCAATCTTTGCCCGACTAAATGGTTAAACTTTCTTTTACCCAAATTTAAAAAGACAATACAAGTATTACACCAAGATGTTAACACCCCTTCCCCACCCAGAAAATTACAACTAACCTGCAGTTCCACTTCTGACAGCACTCTCCCACTGGGGTATATTCGTAACAGTCTGGATGGGGCGCCGGAGTCTTCTTGCACTCTACATTGTTAACCACGACTCCTCCTTCAGTACAGAGAAGGCGTGTGCAGGGGTCTTCCGTGCTCCAGTCCTTACCCACATCGTGATATTTACCATCTTTATCTAAACAGCCTCTGAAATCACAACAGTCGCCCCATGAAATACGTTCAGTACTTCAACTGAGCAAGCGGGTCGTTTAAACAATTTAGATTATAATTGTAACACTTCAGCAAACAAGATTTCATTAGAAACAAATAATTGCTAAACTTTTAATCTTAATTTTTAAGTCTTGTGTAGAGAGCAATGCCAAGATTTCAGAATGTTAGTTGGCAATGAAGGGGGGAAAAAAGAGTAGCCAGTCTGGAGGATGACTAAAGGCATCACAACCTTCCCGATTACCTGAAAAGACCCTCCGGCCGCTTTACGAGTCCAAGCCAGTTAAGAAAATCGGCTTGACGGAAGTTACAGCATTTAAAAATCTGTTCTAAATGTGGGACTATTCTACTAAAATTACATTTTAGATTCTCTATTTTTTAACTTTCTACGATCTAGGCAATTTAATTTGCTTCCGTCATCTAGCACTTTTGTATTAAAGCATATACTTTCAAAGATTTGCGATAACGTTTAATAGTTAAGCCCTAATTACAAATATTGGGCAATGGTTTTAAGTACTTTATTCTTAAAAACTACAATTTTCCAGTAAAGTACCAAGTAAGGCTTATTTCTAGCAAGGAACATAACATTTCCACAGGGGACTTCCAGGGAAATTAAAGCCGAAGAAAACTAGTATTTGGATCAGTTAGAACACCTAGGGTCACACGTTCAATGCTTTAATTTAACTAGTATCCAGCTACACCTCTAGACAAGAATCTGATGTAAAGGGAATTTGTTATTCTTTTGATACATACGTTACAACCTTCAGTTGCCTCTGGAGATTTAACAGGGCTCCATGTTGTGCCCAAGGAAGCAAATGGCTAACCTTAGTTCCTTCATAGATCTTGGGTCATGGTGAAAGTGAAATAAGTTTATACCTAAACACGAAAGTTTTGTAGCTCAAGCTATTCTCACCGTGAGGTCACGTTTATTAGATGCAGATTCTGCCTACAACTTCAAAAATTTAGTAAGCATTTGAAATTAAAATCTATTTGCAAAACTTACAGTAGTCTACCCCATTTGTTCAAGGAATTGGTTCGCGGTCCAAGTAGAGTTTAGATTCTTTGTAGTTATAAATTTCCAAGAAATTTGGTACCATTAAGCGAGACGTTAAACAAATCCACAAGGGCCGTGACAAGGATTCTAATCTGCGTTCGGGAGAATCCTAGACACTGCCTTAATCGGCTGAACTACGACAGTTAAAAAAAAATATCGAAACCCAAGTTCTACTGAACTTACTGGATCTTTTATGCTCCCAGACGCAAGTTCGAATCCTCGTCACGGCATTTGTGGATTTGTTCATTTGATGAATCACGTTAGTGTGATCTGTGTGTAACCATGTATAACAGCCAACAACTTGCCTGCACTTCCACCGAGGACAACACTCTCCAGGCATGGTTAATTCTACACAGCTTTGATCTGGTGCCGGTCCTAACGTGCATTCTTTAACAGTAGACAAGATGCCAGTCTTGGTACAATGTTCCGTGGTGCAGGCGTCCGTCTTCCAGACATCATTTAAGGGATGGAATTTACCATCATCGTCCGTGCAGCCACTGTTTAAATAACAATAAGACAAGTCGCTCCCAAATTTATTTTTAGGTGAATGATTTTGACAAGACTCAAAATAATATTTCGGTACTGTGCAAATAGTGCATATTGCAGTTTATTAAAATATCAATGTGCACCAAAGCCATTGGAAAATACACCTATTCAAATTAATCTCAATACCCATTAAGCATTCAAGTATATATACGGTAAAAATGATTTTTTTTTCAAAAAGTAAAGTCATCAAAAGTTGCATTAACGCTCTTTAATAAAGTTGCTAAAGGACTAAATGTGGCCAGAGTTGCGAATATTGCAACGAACCAGTACTAGACAATTTTTGTATACAAGTACATTGAATCTAGACACTACGGTAATGCAGTATGTTAGAAAATATTTACCTGCAGTTCCAGGTGGGGCAGCACTCTGTATCCGGGGTGTACCGAGTGCAGGTAGGGTGTGGCGGGGGTGTTTTTATACACTTTACACTATTAATCTTCAGTCCTTCCTTGGTACAGGTGTAGATCATGCAGGCGTTTTTCGCAGGCCATTCTTCTCCAATGTTGTGATAATTCTTGTTCACAAAGCAGCCACTGTATGAGAAGTCACGGCAAAATATTCAGCAAATTCCCTTCCTCTAGGAAGAATTTTGTAAAAACTTTGAGAGGGAAGAAGTTTTAAAGATTAAGTTTTAGACTTAGTTATTTTACTAACTAAAGTATACTTTATTAAATTGGCATTGAATAATAACTACAAATATAAAAGTTTGGCGGCCCCCCCCCCCCCATTTATTTCTATGCACACCCTGCATTATCTCTGAACATTCTGTACAGAGTTTCAGTGGTATAGTACACCCTGGAGAACAATGCCGAGATAACTGTGCCGTGAGCGGTTATCTGCAAGTGGCCAGAAAATTACCCACCTGCAGTTCCAAACAGGACAACATTGTCCTACAGGAATTTGTCTCTTGCAGCTCTGGTGAGGTATAGGTTCTAGTTGACAGGTTTCTCGTGTAGTCTGTATGCCATGCCTCGAGCAAACACGAGTCGTGCATTGGTCAGTCTTCCATACGTCGTGCAAGGGATGGTATTTCAACGCCGCGTCAATACACCCACTGAAAGATTGATACAAAGTTTAAAAAAAAAAATACAGCCTTCCTACCACCCCCATACCTAGCCCTGTGTACGTCAGCCTAAGCTTACCTGCAGTTCCACTTTGGACAGCACTCCCCCTTTACAGTGTGCTTGTAGCAGTCAGGATGGGGCGGTAGTGTCTCTTCACACTTTGTATGGCTTAATACTATTCCAGCTTCTGTACAGGAGAAGACTACACAAACATCATCCCTGCTCCACTTGCTGCCCAAGTCGTGGTACTTTCCAGTACTATCAAGACACGCACTGCAAAAGACTCAAAATGAGTATTTAAAGTAAACCACCTGTAAACTTTACTGTATTTCTATTAAAGTTTGTCACGGTCGACCCACCTGCATTGCCATTCGGGACAACATTCCCCAAGCTTAGTAACCGCCTGGCAGCTGGGGTGTGGGGCTGGACCCAAGGTGCAAGTCTCTCGCGTGGTCTTGACGCCATCCCTTGTGCAGTAGTGTGTGGTGCAGGAATCGGTCTTCCAGACGTCATACAACGAGTGATTGACGCCGGCGATATCTAGGCACCCGCTGGAAAACGAAAAAGTTATGCCTTAGCCTTCATAAACCGGTTTAATTTTAGAGATGCTACCGAAATATTCGTTCCAAGCTCACCTGCAATTCCATTTGGAACAACACTCTCCGGGAGCTTTATATGCATAGCAACTAGGATGCAGTGGAGAAGTCTCTTCACAGATCAAGCGTTGGAGGACTATGCCTTCCTCTGTACACACGAACATCAGGCAAGGGTCTCCGGTGCGCCATTTAGAGTTCATGTCATGGTGGTGCCCAGTAGAGTCGAAGCAACCACTGGAATAACATTTTAGTAACATGTTTAGCCATCTGATAATATATTGGGGTTTGAGGGGTTGTTTAAGTGAAATTTTTAGCTAAACTTACGAGCACAGAAGAACTATAGTATTACTAATCGTGCCAGAGTAAAATTATCTGCAAGAGATTGAGAAAAAACTAAACTTTTTTTTTTACAAGTTTAATATAAACCAGCTAATTAAGTCCAAGTATTTCAATAAAACTGCTATGATTTGTTCACAACTTTAAAGATTCTCTCGTAATCTAAAGTATCTCGCCTGCATATCCAGTCGGGACAACATTCTCCAACAGGAACAGTCTTCCGACAGCTAGGATGGGGCGCCGGCCCAAGGTCACAAGCATCTCTGGTAGTCTGGATACCAGTCCTTGTGCAGAAGTGTGTGGTGCAGAGGTCAGACTTCCACACTTCATACAATGAATGTTGTTGACCATTAGGGTCAATACACGCACTGAAAATTATGATTTGTTAATGTAAATGAAAATATTTTTAATTCAAATTTCACTAGTAATAAATTTTGTTCCGCACCTGCAGTTCCACTTGGGACAACATTCTCCCACTGGTGTGTACCGTGAGCAGGAAGGATGAGGTGGTCTAATCTCTGGGCACTGGACTAGTGTCAGTGTAATTCCTTCTCTAGTACACTTAAATATATAGCATGCATTACCAGTACTCCATTCGTGGCCCAGATCACGGAAGCCTCCGGCACTATCAAAACACCCACTGGAAAAAAAAGCAATGATGTGTAATTAAGGTACTACAGACTTTAAGCGAGAGCTTTAACACAATGTCTGCAATATTTAAAGAATTAACATGATTAGGAATAAGCTATCTACAAGAGCATGTTTGTCCAAAGTTAAATGCCAGGTGTTTGGGCCTAGTCCCGTCCAAACTGACACAGAATGGTTTGAGGGGTACGGAATGAACAATGTCAACCTAGACCAGTTCCCTTCAAAAGGGAACTGCATGCCAAGCTCTTGTATAATTCCCCCGAAAGATTAAAGTTTAAAAAATATAGATGTACAGCCGGTTGACAAAGTAACTCTTCAGAACCGTTTTCTTTGAGCAACACACCATTATCCATCAACCGTTTTTTAAATTCAACTTCCCTGTTGTGCACACACTGCCCCCTTCTTGGAACATTCATCATTTGGTGTCAACCTATGCAACTTTTCCGTAAATGTATAGCCATTTTATTTAGGAATACGACAATGCTATGGTCTTCTCACTTCACAAAGACAATTTACTAAGATTTTTTGCATAAATATATCTATACGAGAGTGACAACGCCGGCCAACCGTTCCCGTGTACTTGCATATTAGTTTATTTTGGATTAATTGATAACCCAAGTTGCAATGAAAATTGACAAGTGCCAATATTTGAAGCCGCACTAACTTTACAAATTATCTGGGTCAGAGTATAACACGTGTAAATGTTTACGAAAACTTATCACCCTTCTCTCCCTATACTTGCCTACAATTCCATTCAGGACAACATTTTCCAGGTTGGGTGTACTGCTGGCAGCTGAAGTGAGGGGCAGGGGTCAGGTGGCACTCCGTCAGCGACGTCTGAATACCAGTCCTCGTGCAGAAGCTTGTACTGCAAGGATCACTCTTCCAGATGTCAAACAACGGATGATAACCGCTGTCATCAACACAACCACTGCAATAATCGGACATTACATCACTTTAGTGAGCCGATTTCATTTAAAATTACGTCCATTTTTGGCCATAACCCGCAAAAAGCTACGTTACTTTCAAGAGGAATTAAATAATCACCATTTGTTTGACCATATTTTCACTTTCGCATTTTTATCCACTTCCCCCCCCCCCAGTCGCGATTAAAAAAAGGGGGAAGTGGCAGAGACCAAAAACAAACCTGCAGTTCCATTTGGGACAGCAAGCTCCAGCGGGAGTGTAGCCGTGACAGCCAGCATGGGGAGGACCCGTGGCTACACAGCTCTCTCTCGTCTCTTCTATGCCACCTTCGGTACACGTCAATACAACACAGGGATCCGACCCAATCCACTCGTGGCCAAGTTCATAGTACACACCAGACTCGTCAGTACACCCACTGTAGTACACGGGTGCCCAAATGAGCCACAGAGATATTAGAAAGAACTTTAGTGTCAGAGTGGTTGACAAATGGAATGCATTAGGAAGTGATGTGGTGGAAGCTGACTATACACGGTTTCAAGTGTAGATATGATAAGAGCCCAATAGGCTCAGGAACCTGTACACCAGTCTATTGACGGTCGAGAGGCGGGACCAAAGAGCCAGAGCTCAACCCCCGCAAGCATAATCAGGCGAGAACGGGGATTATCAATGAGCAGTTGAATTTTAACCAAACTAAAATTTAGCCTTTTTTCAGAATGGTTTAAAGGACCGAGACAAATTGTATTTCTTAATACAATTAAGGGTTAAACTTGTGTTGTGAAGAACCATGGAATGATTTACTAAAAGGCTAATTAGCACTATTGCTAAGAAATTAATTAAGCTAATTAATCTACAGGAGGTAAAACATGATCATTTAGACAAGCAAACTAGGAATATAAATGGATAACCCCCCCCCCACTTGTGGGTGTCCGAGAAGACATTACCCCTTACTATTACCCCCATTAGGCCCCCCCTACTTGTGCCGATCTCTAGTTACAGTTCTTTTGACGATGTTGTCTAAGGTGTTGCTCTACAGGCTCTAGTTACCAGAGCATAGGTTCGAATCCTCACGATTCTTATTTTAGTAATACAAGAAATATTAACTGGGCAAGAGGGTTTGGGGGAAATATGGCAGACGTAGAAGGAAGAATAAGAAATTTATACGGGTCCCGTCAGAAGGGGGGGGGGGGGAGAAGGGCACTATCAGGAGAAAGCGCGAAGCCATTATGACTATAGCACTGGGAAGGGATCAGGACAAGGATCTGGGATGGGACAGGGGGGGGGTGAAGGAATGGTGCCCAACAGTGGGGGGGTCCTACCTGCACCGCCACCGTTGGCAGCACTCTCCCTCTGGAGTGTAGGCTTCACAACTCTCATGTTCGGGCGTCGTTAAGTGACACGACTCTTGCCGGGTCACGACCCCGCGGGTGGTGCACGTGTGGTACAAGCAGGGACTCGTGTACCACGAGCTCCCCAGCTCGTGGTACTGGCCGCCGTCGTCAGTACACCCACTAACGGCGGGTGTGAGAGTACAGCAGACAATTATTCTAGTAACCTCATGGCTTATGTCTAATGTTTAAAGTTATTGAACGTTTTAGTACCCGTCAAGTTTACATATTGTAACTATGGTCACTAGTCATTTTTAGTTCTAAGTAATAGCATTATAAAAAGTCTAATTTTGGGACTTGTTAGGAATGGGAAATGGAATTTCTTTCCTCTTAATTAACACTATTTTAACCTAACGTTAAATCTTTTTATCCCATTGTATAGTGGTAATAGTAAACTACACTATCGTTATTCACAAGTAGGAAGTTCCAGGTTAAATCTAGAATAAGATTGGTAACTTCTGTAACTGAAGATGTTTAAGAAACGTATTAACCTTAAGATGGCCAGGCAGTTAAACGTTTCAATAGCGCATAAAACAATATACTTTATTTCATAATTTCAAAGTGTTTATACTCACATTGAGCAGTTCCATGTAGGGCAACAAGGGCCGGGAATCTCAACACAGTAGTCGTGTGGGGGTCGAGGGCACAGTACAGTAGAGTTGTGACACTGGCAGTGATGACAGTAGTCTGGCTTCCAGCTGGCTCCTTCAGGCTGTACCAAACCCGTCTCGTCCACACACCAGTACTTAAAGGAATCTTCACAACCCACATTGTCTGTTAAGCAGTGTCAATGAAAAACCACTTACAAAAATTGTACTTTTAAAGAAACTTAATAAACCAATTTCATTTAAAATACCCCACGGCTGTCTTCATAAATACCCCCGGCTGTCTCCATAAATACCCCCGGCTGTCTTCATAAATACCCACGGCTGTCTCCATAAATACCCCACGGCTGTCTTCATAAATGCGGCAGTCAACTTTTGCAATGTTATTTACCTTGACAGGAAGACAGAGGCAGTTTAACTGGAACAATTACAGCCGTCAATAGCCTCACCGAGGACTTCTGGGCGGCACAGACCAGCTGCATACAAAAGTCTGGATAGTCTTCCACTACTGTACCCCAGCCATAGATCTTACCGTTGTAGCAACAACCTGTAAAGGGGGAACAAGCTCTTTAGTGTGAAAAATGTCCCAGGAAGAATAAATCAAAGCCCAGTCATACATAAAGTTACAACAAACTCTAGTTAAGCATATTAAATGCAAGAATCAATGTTTCAAGATGCTAATGCATGTTTAGAGAATTTACACTGCAAACTAAAATTCTTGACAACTACCACATTCACTTCGGTAAAGCTGTACGCCTCCACCCACTTACAAGGCCATCAACGAGGTTGCTCACCTTGAGAGGTCTGCCCACACGCTGGACAACACCCAAACTTCTGACAACAATCTTTAAAATCTTGCGACTGTGGACGAAAACTGCAACATGACCAAGCTTCGTCGCAACTGTTACTTTCAGTCAAGTCCTCTGAAAATTTTAGTAAAGTTCAGTATCTAAAGTAAACTATACTTTTATTCTAGTTATGTTCAAGAATTTCAAGTTACCTTCAGAAGAATCGTCACAATCTATGGGACAACAGCCTTGATCGTGGCAACATTCGTGGAACTCTTGTGTCGACGGCGCGAATTTACAACATTCTTTAGGATTTTCGCAACTGCTTCGTAACGTTAAACTCTGGCCGTCTGAAGCAGAGGAAAACGAAGTTTAGTCTTTGCAAGATTTAATTAAAAATATTAGAGATCCTGAAATGGGTAATTTAGAGGCAAGTTAAACCAGTATCAAGTGTTACCGTTTACAAATAAATTTTATTCTTGCACTTTAGAGAATTAGAAATATTTAATGCAGTTTAAGAAAGCCAAAACTAGGCCTCTCCACCTTCAAGTGCCACTGCCAGAGTTTGACACTGCCTTTATTTTACGTTTGGTAGGTACGGCTCCAAGTGGTGGCAGTTTTAGATTCAGGACCACTTTAGGGTGAATTTTAGTATACTAAAAGTCTTAAAAGAAAAGGAAAAAACCTGAATTTAGTATTGAACTATTAAAGTAGCTTTAATGATCAGGTATTCCAAGTAGAATGAAGTAGCCTGCGCGAAATCTCCCTAGGCATATCTGGTAAGTTTGCGAGGATGATTCTTTACAAAATACTCCGCCTGCAATGAGCGACAAGCTGTTAAAGCATTCAATTTTAGATTTTATTGAAGTAAAGACGCTTTACACATCTTTATTATTTAATCGAATGTAGTATTTAATATCTGGTCTATAGCGTAAAGAGACTATATTTAGGAAGAAAGAAAGCTCGTTTGTTATGAAACCATCATCGCTTACAATTAAAGCTGAAAAAGTTGCATTTACAAGTACATAAACATGTATCCGATTTAGTTACGCAATTACTTTTTGAGTCTTGTTATGGAAGAGGTTGAAAAGTAAAAAAAAAAAATAAACATTTATATAGTAACTACACTGAAGGTACCTCCGCATCAAATAACTATATTTAATAATCCGGGCATCATAAACTAGAGTAATTAAGTTAGACATACGTACCACAAGCCGCGAGATGAACAACGACTTGAACAGCAAAACAAATTATCCGAAGGCGAGAGCCGCCACCGTGCGGGAGCCTCGCCACCTCACCCATAACGGACCAAGATTGTTCTTGTCTAAAGCCGTAATCTCCACGGAAGCCCACCCAGGAGACAGTAAGGCTGACCGTCCACCCAGCTGTGAGTGTTGGTGGGGACTGGTGACCTTCTACTGTCACCCGTCCAACACCTAAACTGCTGCGGCTGCTTTCGAACATTCCCGCCTTCAGGCTTGGCTCGGTAGAGCGGAAGTGTTCGGACGTCATCAGTTGTAAGTCGTGTGTAAACCGTTTTACATTAAGCAGGGAGTTTGGAGGGTGCATGGAATGGACTTTGGCCTTTGTTGATGAGGACGGGTTGGTTGGCAATAATTTGTATCTGTAGTACGTGGGTGAAGCATTTACAGCGTTGTGGTTCGAACAGAAGTCGTCAGCGAAGCACTGTTCGAAAAATGTTCGAACGTCATCAGTCATGAGTCGTGTGTAAACCATTTTTCATCCATAAACCAGCCCGTTCTTCAAAGACCCAAAAGTGATTCCATTCACCCGCCAAACCCCCTATTTATGAATGAAAAGCGGTTTACACACGACTCACAACTGCTGACGTCCGAACACTTCCGGAACAAGTGCTTCGCTGACGAATTTTGTTCGAACCACAACGCTATAAATGCTTCACCCACGTACTACAAATACAAATAATCGCCAACAGAATCTAAACACCTAACCTAACCTATGTCTATATATGCACAATATGCTAATATATTATAATATTAATTTATACTTGAGAAAATTACTGTTTTGAATGAACAGCATGTTAAAATTTATGAATACGTCTGTGGTGTCAACCGCTGGATGGAATGGATTTGAGTCGAGGACGGGTTGATATACAGAGAGGTGTACACCGCTTCTAGCCGTATTCAGTATACAGAGATTTTAAATTTGTATCATGTCCGGGACCCTTTATTTTAGTTATATCTATACCCTTTCACCCATTTGTATACTTCAATCATATCACCGACTCTTCTTCCCTCTAGAGAATGTAATTTAAGCTTAATAAAATCTCTGATAATTGTGATTGAAATATCAGAATCTTCTTGTAAAAGAAAAACAAATGTAAGCTAAAAGACCCTAATAATTAGAGAACTTGGAAAGATAGGGACAACAGAAGGCCTTTAGGGTAACACTAAAGTATTTCTGCTAGTTAAATTTAAAGTAAAGTCATTGAAAACGTCACTGATTAAGAGCTGACGAGATGAGGATCTCAAGGCTCTCTCCTCCATCTTCACTCGCTTCACACACACACACACACACACACACACACACACACACACACACACACACACACACACACACACACACACACACACACACACACACACACACACACACACACACACACACACACACACACACACACACACACACACACACACACACACACACACACACACACACACACACACACACACACACACACATACAAGGCCGCAATCAAAACGATAGAAGACAAACTCGAATAACCTACAGCTTAAGCTTTACTTCTCTTCACACCTCGCTCTCAGCTCTCAACATAGCATTCAGTGTCTATCTCTATTGCCAGCCATCAATATTCTCAGCTATCATTGATTATTAGCCCTCAAAGCCAGATTTCAATGTCAACTCTTAATGACAGCAATCAGGAGCAGGCGAGGAGTCACAATAACGTGGCTGAAGAATGTTGACCAGACCACACACTAGAAGGTGAAGGGACGACGACGTTTCGGTCCGTCCTGGACCATTCTCAAGTCGATTGTGAGAACAATCGACTCATTATAACATTCTAATGTTAAGGTTCAGTAAAATAATGAACATTCTCACAATCGACTTGAGAATGGTCCAGGACGGATCGAAACGTCGTCGTCCCTTCACCTTCTAGTGTGTGGTCTGGTCAACATCAGGAGCAACCTTTAACAACATTATTCACAGTCAGCCCTTAAAACCACCTGTCAGTTAGCTGTCAAAGCCTGCCTTTAACACCATCCCTCAAAGCCACCTGTCAGTCCCATCTGTCCAAACCTGGCATTAACACCAGCTGTCAAAGCCACCTTTTAGAGTCAGCAATCAAAACCTGCCCTCAGCCCATCCTTCAAAACCACCTGTCGGTTCCAGTTGTCCTCAATATCAGCCCTCAAAGCCACGAAGCCACCAGTCAGGGCTAGCTGTCAAGACCTGCCCGCAGCCACACCTCCCAACGCTATGCCTCAGCACCAGTCTTCAGCGTTGGGTCCTGGGCACTCTCTCAGCGCGACACCCAACACTTACAGGCCATTAAGGTCGCTGAAGCAAACTCGGCCCCTGATTGCTGGTAAATATTTGGGAATTTATCAACATGTGGGCACTGTATGCCTGTCTGTCTGTACTCACCTATTTGTACTCACCTATTTGTGCTTGCAGGTTCGAGCATTGGCTCTTGGATCCCGCCTTTCCAGCCATCGGTTCTTTACAGCAATGACTCCTGTCCCATTTCCCTATCATACCTAATTTTAAAAGTATGAATAGAGTTTGCTTCCACAACCTGTTCCCCAAGTGCATTCCATTTTTCCGCTACTCTCACGCTAAAAGAAAACTTCCTAACATCTCTGTGACTCATCTGAGTTTCCAGTTTCCACCCATGTCCCCTCGTTCTGTTATTATTACTTGTGAACATTTTATCTATTTCCACTTTGTCAATTCCCCTGAGTATTTTATATGTTCCTATCATATCTCCTCTCACCCTTCTTGTCTCTAGTGTCGTAAGGTTCAGTTCCCTCAGAAGTTCTTCATATCCCATCCCTCGTAACTCTGGGACAAGCCTCGTTGCAAACCTCTGAACCTTCTCCAGTTTCCTTATGTGTTTCTTCAGGTTGGGGCTCCATGATGGCGCGGCATACTCTAAGACGGGTCTCAAGTAGGCAGTGTAAAGCGCCCTAAAAGCCTCCTCACTTAGGTTTCTGAATGAAGTTCTAATTTTCGCCAGTGTAGAGTTCGCTGCTGTCGTTATCCTATTTATATGTGCCTCAGGAGTTAGATTAGGTGTCACATCCACTCCTAGGTCTCTTTCTCGAATCGTTACAGGTAGGCTGTTCCCCTTCATTGTGTACTGTCCCTTTGGTCTCCTGTCACCTGATCCCATTTCCATAACTTTACATTTACTGGTGTTGAACTCCAGTAGCCATTTCCCTGACCATCTCTGCAACCTGTTTAAGTCCTCTTGGAGGATCCTACAATCCTCGTCTGTCACAACTCTTCTCATTAATTTTGCGTCATCCGCAAACATTGACATGTATGATTCCACTCCTGTAAACATATCATTTACGTAAATTAGAAAGAGGATTGGTCACAGCACCGATCCTTGAGGTACTCCACTTGTTACTGTTCGCCAGTCCGACTTCTCGCCCCTTACCATTACCCTCTGGCTCCTTCCTGTTATGTAGTTCTTCACCCATGCAAGGGCCTTTCCGCTTACTCCTGCCTGCCTCTCAAGTTTGTATAGCAGTCTCATGTGCGGTACTGTATCTGTCTGTCTGTCTGTCTGTCTGTCTGTCTGTCTGTCTGTCTGTCTGTCTGTCTGTCTGTCTGTCTGTCTGTCTGTCTGTCTGTCTGTCTCTCTGTCTCTTTTGAAAAATATATAATTGTCTAATGTGAGGGTGGGCGCCAATGAGAGGATCTTAGAAGTGTGAAATACTAAACAAGAAAAGGAACACTTTACTTTTAATAATTATTATTTAATAACCAGAGAGAAATACAGAAAATAATACAAATTGCCCCTTTACTAAATTGCTTTTCTCCTGTGCATCCGCTGAAGTTTATTCAGCGCCTAAATTCATGAATGCAAAGCATTGGTTTAATTTTCGTTCCAGTTAACTCAGGCGTACAAGTTCTATAGCAGTCACACACACACACACACACACACACACACACACACACACACACACACACACACACACACACACACACACACACACACACACACACACACACACGCACACACGCACACACACACACACACACACACACACACACACACACACACACACACACACACACACACACACACACACACACACACACACACACACGCACACACACACACACACACACACACCCACACACAGTTTCCGAAACACTTGACTCTGGTTGCCCTAGGCTCCAAACATGAATTTATAATTAAGTTCTCAAAATCAAATTCCTTCGCAATAACATGGGCGAGAGAGAGAGAGAGAGAGAGAGAGAGAGAGAGAGAGAGAGAGAGAGAGAGAGAGAGAGAGAGAGAGAACTGCTTATCTGCCGTCCTCGTTCCCAACATCACATCTGTAAATGCATCATCCACTTACCAGAAACACAAATCATTGTCAACAGCACCTAAACAACTAGCCTAATTTAGGCCTAGCTATACACCAAATTCTGATACATAATAATATGAATTTACATTTGAGATGTCGATTTTGAATACAAAGTATTTTTCCACTGACTAAGTGTCACTGAGATGTCTACACAGACAAACACAGTCTGAAGCAGGCCTCGCGAGCGAGCGTTCCCAACGTCAAGAAAATGTCGTACTAACGTGTCCTTATCTTAACCTACCAGAGGACCCAAAACAGAAAACGGGACAGTATGTCAATTTCGACTACCGCTACGATTTTCTAGTGCAACAGTTGTGTGACTTAGGTAAAGTATACGTCAAAATGCGATGTGCTAATAGGAGAACTGGTTGATTGAACACAATTCAGGATTATAGTATACTTATTAATTGATAAATAAGCTATTGTGTTGGCTTTAATAACTCTCCCGAGATTGACCAGACCACACACTAGAAGACGAAGGGACGACGACGTTTCGGTCCGTCCTGGACCATTCTCAAGTCTCTGAGACTTGAGAATGGTCCAGGACGGACCGAAACGTCGTCGTCCCTTCACCTTCTAGTGTGTGGTCTGGTCAACATAATTTAGTCACGTTATTGTGACTCATGGCCTGCATATGTATCTCCCGAGATTGATAAGCCTTAGGTTCAACACTGAGCTATGGCCTCCCAACTATGGGAGTCTGGTTTCCTTTGACTAATTGATTAAGTTAGAATGATTGTTTCTTAGACTGATTTACTTTGAATCAGTCTCCCTGACTGTAAGAGTTAAATCAGAGTGTCTGTCTGTCCCAGACAA